AGAATTGAAGAACGGCAGAATAGCATAGGCCGATGGCAATTACAATGGGATGCTGCAGAGAAGGGTAGGTGGACGCACCGTCTCATACCTCGGATCGACATTTGGCTTAACCGGAATCACGGTGAGGTCAATTACTATCTTATGTTGCAGATGTTGTCGGGACATGGGTGTTTTCGAGAGTATCTACGCCGCTTTAAGCACGATGACTCTTCGGAGTGCCCGACCTGCCAAGGAGTTGCTGAAGATGCGGAGCAGGTCTTCTTTGTATGTCCTCGTTTCGACTCACAGCGTGAAGAGCTGGAGAGGATCCTGAACCAGAGATTGCAACCGGATTCACTAGTGGAAGCAATGTTGTCATCTGAAGCTGCCTGGAACGCTACCAACACGTTTGCAACAGAAGTCTTCAAAGACTTGCGTTCCACCGAAAGAGGAAGAGCAAATAGCAGAAGATAGAAGGAAGGTAGTTAACACCTTAGCCATCAGAAGGAAGAGCAGTAGCTAGATCCTCCCCTCACGAAGTTATGCCTGACGGCGGTTTCCATGAGGGATTAGAGGAAAGAGGAAAGGGGTTTAGGATTTAGTGGGTAGGGGCGTTAGCGTCGAGTTTTAGTATGACGCTGCGTCGAGTCGCCACATATCCAGGCCAATAACTATGCCTAGAATCCGTAAAAAGGATTCCCCCCCCTAAAGGAAAAAAAAAAAAAACACACACACACACACACACACACACACACACACACACACACAGATATACTGACAACATCGCGGGGGTAAGCAGGGAAGCTTCCTCTATGACCTTAAAACGTCGAGATTTGATGAAAACTCGATTTTTGCAAAACGGGGTAAAAACAATAACTTCCCGATTGTTGAAAATCTTCGATTTTCTTAGCGGGAAGTTAAAAATGTTTTTCAGTTAAATAAAAGATATACAACGAAAAGTCAACTCTCTAAAAGCGGTACGGGAATAATTATAAAAATGTCGAATTTATTTCCAGAGTATATATACTCTGGAAATAAATTTTATTTTTTATTTTTTAAATAAATCTATATATATATAGATTTATTTAAAAAATAAAAAATAAAAAAACTTTATAGAACTTCTTAAATATAATTTTGTTTAATAATTTTTTTTTTTAATAGATTTTTTTATGTATCGTGACTATTATGGCTAACAACGGAAGAAAAAGAAAATCTTTTATAGATTCTTTACCCGACAGGGTTTTCCATGGATTCACATTTCGACAAGGAAGACCTCTAAAAGATGGTGCTCGGTATCTAATAAATAGAGCTATACAATTTGTCCGGTTACGCTACCTTACATAGGTTAATTGTGTAAATAATCAACTAGCTTGGCTTATTTAACCGGTTAACTAAGTTAAGTTAACCAAATGGCTAACAGTTTAACTGCTTAACTAAACTTAACCTATTAACCAACAGTTGATTAGCAAAGCTAAATCGGTTACATAGCAAAAAATTTTTTGCTTTTTGATAATCTGTGAAACGTTAATAAAGAGCAAAAAAATTTTTGATAAAAATGTTTTTGACTATGTATATATAATGTACAATATTTTTTTTTTCGTTCTTGAAGATAATAAACTATTTTAATTATTTACTCAATTTATTGGTTTCAGACGTTTAATTTGTTTGCATGGCGAATCACATGCTTGCGATGCCTCAGGTACCTTATCTGCCACTGATGACTTCAGTTATGTACCGAAAAAGGAAAAGCATACTCATGAATGAGATCCCGATGCAGAAATTAAAGCTCGGTTTACTCGAGATTTGTATATCGCAACTAAACATCAATTCCGAACTCTTCAAATAATATATGATGAAATAGCATTGCTGTAAGTTATAAGCTGTCTATTAGAATCCTTTTTTATCCATCTATATGTCGTAGTCTTTTTGCAAAATCGGTCATTTCATGAAATACCTAGGAACTTCCAGAAGCGTCGGCGTTCAGTGAAAAATATTAAAATTGCATTATCAGCCTAGGTATTTCATGAAATGACCACTTTGTGCCGGCATCTCGTGTTTAAAGCCAAGATACATAATCAGACGCATAGAACAGTTGGGCTTTTCATGTAATAGCTATTATACATCTTGGTACGTTGAATAAAGAAAAAAAATTAATTATATTAAAAAAAACGAAGGATTAAAAGCAAATACAAGATTAATTATTAAAAAAATATAACGAATATTTTGGAAAACACCATAACAAACGACCGAATACTTCAGTTTACTAAAAAAAGGTAAATATTATACGGTCGTTTGTTAGGTTGTTTTTCATAACATTCGCTATATTTCTGTAAAAATAAATCTTTATTCGCTTTAATTCCATTTATTTTTTAATATTATAATTAACTTTTAACTTCCCGCTAAGAAAATTGAAAATTTTCAAAAATCGGAAAGTTATTGGTTTTACCCATAATATTTACCTTTCTTAAAGTAAGTTTTATTTTAGTAATGCGTCACTCTTTTCCTAACATTAAAACAGTAGAATGTAATTTTTTTCATAGCTATGGTAGAAATGCTTTATATTTTACGCTATATATGCAATTTGACTTTATTTTTATAATTGTATTATAGTCATGAAGAAGGTGCCGCTCTACTGAGTTTTAACGACAATAACAGGAAAATGCAGGCATGGTTAGAGAACAGGGTGTTACCAGAAGTCACATCAATTGGTGACATTAAATTACAATTAAATGACCCTCTGTTTAAAAATATCAATCTGCACAATGCCGGAAAGACGGAGATTGAATTCGTACAAGATGAGGAAGGTCAGAATACTGCTATGATTCTTGTAGATGCGAATCTTTTATCGCAACTGGAGACCATGACTTTATTTATACAGTCAACAGATCATAAATTCGAAGGTGTCGATAATCTTCAATTAACATCAATCTCAACAAAGCATATGGATTATGTAAGAATAAAATAATCAATGCATTAAAAAAAAATGAACACTAGTCATCAATCGACCAAAGAGAAGTTTTTTGGTCGATTAATGACAAAGAAATCTTCCGAATATTTTTGAAGGATTCATAAATATTTGTCAAAAACACTGGAAAAAAAAATATTCTGAAATTTATTGTTTGGTTTAGAATGTCTTTTAATTTAAATAAATTTTTCAATGCTTTTTCTTACCTAATTGAAAAGTTTGCATATCTATTTTCCGAATTTCAGATTTTACCCTTAGTATGGATTATTTTATCGGATAAAAATGAAAAAATTTGTGAAAGTATACTTCGCAAGATTTTAACGTTACAACCTACCTTGTCACCTACAGCAATTTATAGTGAGTTTGACAGTGATTATTGGAGAGCTGTCAAAGCAGTATTTCCAAATGTAATCATCAAAGGAATGTTTTTGAGTCATTGTAAGGTGAAAAAATTTTCATGTTTTAACGTAAATTTTATTTATTTTTATTTAATATAGCAAATATAATTGATATGTAGAGTATAATTTTATATTTAACAAATATACGAAAAGTTAATAAATTGATAAAAACATGATATAAAAAAAAGAAATTAATGATTCTAAAATGAATCTAATATTGTAATCAGAAATAGTAACTAAAAAAAATAATATTATTTTAGTAATTGAAAATGAAATTTATTTTACTTGTATATTCATATTGTTTAATATTATTATCATAAACCTTATAATTAATAGTTATATTTGCCACGTGGTCAAAGAAGTTTTATTAAGAGCGTTTGTAATAAGTAAGCGTAATTTTTTTTTTTCTAGATCATGATAAACACGGCCAAATTGAAGAATATTAATTTAACAGATGAAAGAACAATGTCAATATTATCAAAAATCATATCAATGAGCTTGTTACCTGCAGACAAGATTGTAAACAGTTTACGAGAGTTTGTTGGCTCTACGATGACTAATCAAGATTTTGAAAATTTAAATGAACTGATGACATTTTATGATGAAAAGTGGCTTACAAGCATTGACGTTGAGAATTACTCTTTCTATAATGATTCAATGTCATTGCGGAAGAACGGAGAACTAATTCTTCAAGATATGAAAAATCGACTTAAGAAAGTCAACGCGTTATGGAATTTAATTGGTAAATATGTTGTAATTATTCATTAATCAAAATTTCATTCAGATGAATTAAATATGAATAATTTTTTTTTTTTCATTCAGAGGAAGTATCATCGATCAATTCTCAAATACATTTTCACCAGGATAACTTAGCTAAAAAAGGACATTTTAACATTCCTTCCAGAAAAGTTAAAAATATTTTTACTGGAGTAAAAAACTGTAAATGTATTTCTGATGCATGGAAAGAAATTGAAGCAAAAGTTTTATCTTCTATTGATTTAATAATGAGAACTGCAGATAATCTAACACCAATATTACGTAATTTGTCAAATTCTGATGTTAAAATTCCGATTCAGTTTCAATTAGTAAATTTAACTACCGATGAAGAAAATGGTAAGACAATTATTGTATTATACATCACACTTGAAAAAAAAAAATGTGAGAGCACAGGATATTATCATATACCGTTATTTGATTTCAGAATTAATTGATGCTGATGATGAGTTACCAATATTGAATTCATCTGATGATGAACCCATTGATGATGAGTTACCAATATTGAATTCATCTAAAGATGAGCCCATTGATGATGAGATACCAATATTGTATTTATCTGAAGATGAGCCAATTGATGATGAGTTACAAATATTGAATTCATCTGAAGATGAGCCCATGGATGATGAGTTACCAATATTGATTTCATCTGATGATGAGCCCATTGATCATGAGTTACCAATATTAAATTTATCTGATGATGACCACATTGATTATGAGCCCATCGATAATGAGCCCGTCAATGACGAACCCATTGATACTTTAGACGAAGAAGAAGTTCAAGGGTATATTCACAGTCAGCACTGTTTGGGATGTTATGAAGATAGTATCGAAATTGGTTACAGGCCTTGCACTTACGCACCGTATTGCTGGTCTTGTAATAAATAATGGCACGACGAGGCAGTTAAAAATAAACAAATGGGTCATTCCACGTCAAATCGACCAATAGTTGGACTCGACCCCTTTCGATTTGGATAAATTTTGGTCAGAAGTTTTCTTTTATCCTATAACGAAGTTCTGCCAAAGGAAAAAAATTAAAAAAATTTTTTTCAAAATTTATGCAAAATCCAAAATTTCACTATTTTCCATATTTTTTAAATTTATGTTTCAAAAATCTCGAAAACTATTGCAATTAAAAAAATCGCTTATGGTAAACTTCAAAGGGGACACTTGGGGCTATTAAAAAAAAAAATTTCCAAAAAAAAATTTTGAAAAATCTCCAATTTGTGAAATTTTGAATTTTTGAAAATTGTCAAAATTGACCGTCGACAATAAATTTTTGGCTCAAATTTTTTTGTGTACTACCTTGTCTCAATCTTTGAAGATCCTGAAATTTTCGGAACTGTGTTTTTTGTTTTTTCAAAAATATGAATTTTTGAAATTTGTTAAAAAAAAATTTTTTCTTAAATTTTTTTTTTTTTATTCAGTTTGGCAAATCGCGTAATTTTGATATATTGAACAGTTGAAATTTCATTTAGTAGCATAATGATGAGAAAAAAAACATTAATGACATTTTTTGGGATCATTTTCAAAATAAAACTCGTAAAAAAAATGATACTGACACCTGTATTATCATTTGATGTTAAAGTAGAAGAAGTGGTGACATCTGTCGCGTGACGTTTGAATCTTTACGTGTAAGATAAAGTTAACCTTTCTGATTTTTATTTCGAAGACAGTCATCATTCTAAGTAAGTGTCTAGAAATAACTCTTTCTTCAAATTCTAAACTTATAACAATTATCTTATCAAGTGTTTAATTTAAGGATATTATCTAGTTAAAATTTTGAGTGCAGAAAAAATAAGAGATCAGTGATAGAAAATGAAAAGTGTTCGATTGGATTATTTAAAAATGAAATATGCTCTGAAGAAAAATTTATTAATTACAAAGATTTTTCTGACGAAGATCAGATTACTCTGAATTCTAGAAGTGGTAAAGACGTTAGTTTTATTTGCTTTCAACATGACAAACAGTATCGTATCAAATATACTTCAAATCAAAAATCTTGTGCTGATCCCTTTAAACTTCATGACAGTATAGTTCGTAAATCTTTGAAACCAGTCAGTTTAAAATTGTTCGAACAGTGTAAGATTAGGTTACCTTCCATTATACCGGGAAGTAAACTATGCATTTCGTGTACTAAAAGAGTCTATAGTGAATTACCAGAACATCAAAATGAAGTTGAAATATTTGAAAAAACTGTGAATGTCGAAGAAAGTCAACTAGTTGAGAGTGTCAATTCAAAGCCTGGTGGACGAAAAAATGTCCTCTAATTTATCTGAGAACTTGCAGTTGTCAAATGTGACAACTTCAACATCTGAAATGTGCAGCTCAACCGGTGAAACTTTTACACCTACTAAAATACATCTAGATCGCCTTAATTCTATTGCCAAAACTTTTAATTTATCTCCTGTAAAAAAAAAGATTTAGATCGATCAAAAACATACAATTAAAAATAAACAATTGAACATTGACGATACTCCTGAATTAACCGGAAAAGAAATAATAAATCAGCTAAAAGAAAAATTTAATAACTGCAGCAAAGTGAGTGAAAAATCACAGATTTTATCTGTTTTGCCTTTAAGTTGACCAACAGAAAAAATTGTTGATGTTTTAGAAGCATCTACATACATGGTGAAAAAAGTAAAACAAAAAGTCAGTGAAGATGGCATTCTATTCACTCCACAAAGAAACAAAGGTCATTCATTATTAAAAACTACTGAAGAGAAAATTCAACAATTTTATCGAAATCAAGATGTAAGTAGAGAGTTACCAGGTAAAAAAGAATTTAAATCTGTTCATGAGAATGGTCAACGGGTTCCAAAACAAAAACGGCTGATTTTGGGTAATTTAAATGAAATTTATCAATTGCTCAAGCAGAAATACCCATTTGAAAAAGTCAGTTTTTAAAAACTTGCTAGTCTGAGACCCCCTGAATGTGTTCTACCAGGTTCATCTGGCACTCACGTAGTTTATGTCTGTCTCATTCACGAAAATTTTAAACTATCATTTCATGGTGCAAAACTTGACAAATTAAAATGTAGCAATGAAAGTCAACCGTTTTCTTCATATCGAGATTGCTTGAAAATGGTTATTTGTCCTCGGCCTACGAGTGACTGCTATTTGGGAACCTGTAGTAACTGTCCTGGCTCGACAAAATTAAGAAGAACGATCGAAAATATTTTCAATGATAACTTTGTAGATGAAATAACGTATAAACAATGGACTCAAGTAGATCGATGTTCTTTGGAAACGATCGTGAAATCAACTGATGATTTCGTTGATAATTTGGTAGAATCTATTCCAAAATTCCTTCAGCATGATTTTATTGCTCGTCAACAGGCTGAATTTTTTCAAACTACGAAAAAGAATCTCAAAGTTGGACAAGTACTTGTTGTTGCTGACTTCTCAGAAAATTACTCATTTTTACTTCAAAACAGTATCCAAAGAGCTTATTGGAATAATAGTCAAGCGACAATCCATCCATTTGCTTGCTATTATAGATCCATTGATGAAAATGTCGACAATATAGTACCTCTAAATTTGATAATCATTTCAGACAACTTGACGCATAATACAACAGCAGTTTATAGTTTCCAGGAAGTACTGACATCGTTTCTGAAAAATAAAAGCCCAGCCATTTCTAAAATAATTTATTTTTCGGATGGTGCAGCATCTCAATATAAAAATCGGTACAATTTGCTGAACTTGCTGAATCATGAGGAAGATTGTCAAATACCAGCGGAATGGCATTATTTTGCAACTTCACATGGAAAAGGTCCAAGTGATGATTTAGGCGGAACATTAAAACGGAAGGTTGACAGAGCCAACCTCCAATCTAAAGCTGACGACCAAATTCAAACACCTGATGAGCTATTCAAATGGGCAAAAGAAAATGTTCACGGAATCAATTGTGACTTTGTTTCAAATGAGCAGATTCAACGTACTCAAAAAAAACTTAACCAGAGATTTAAAAATGCTCTGCCAGTACAAGGAATCCGAAATTGTCATGCCGCTATTCCCATTTCAAGTGATGTGATGAGAGTAAAAACCTCATCCTCATCTGAGGAAGGAAAGGATTTCCGGTTAAAAAATACAGATATCTACGAGTTCGTTGAAGAACCAGATATTAAAAGCAGGTAAAAATCTGAAATTTCTGTGTTAGTACTTTATCTATTTTAAGTTTGGGTTTAAAGATTTAAGTCATATTAACATTTTTCAGGTTAAGAAAAAGAAAAGGAGCAACAACAGTAACTGAAGAATTGAAGAAAAAAAAAATTTTCGTAACAGAATGTCAAGTAAACTTACACGTAAAAAGCCCTATTAAATAAATTAATAACCAATAATAAACAAATATCATTAATGATTTTTTTCTCATCATTATGCCACTAAATGAAATTTCAACTGTTCAAAACATCAAAATTACGCGATTTGCCAAACTGATTAAAAAAAAAAAAAAAAATTAAGAAAAAATTTTTTTTAACAAATTTCAAAAATTCATATTTTTGAAAAAACAAAAAACACAATTCCAAAAATTTCAGGATCTTTTAAGATTGGTACAAGGTAGTACACAAAAAAATTTGAGCCAAAAATTTATTGTCGACAGTCAATTTTGACAATTTTCAAAAATTCAAAATTTCACAAATTGGAGATTTTTCAAAATTTTTTTTGGAAATTTTTTTTTTTTAATAGCCCCAAGTATCCCCTTTGAAGTTTACCATAAGCGATTTTTTTAATTGCAATAGTTTTCGAGATTTTGAAACATAAATTTAAAAAATATGGAAAATAGTGAAATTTTGGATTTTGCATAAATTTTGAAAAAAATTTTTTTAATTTTCAAATCGCAATAACTTTTGAATGAATGAACCGATTTTCACGCGGTTGGCAGCATTCGACGCAGTTTTTTAAGCTTCATAGTAAATCTGTGAGTTTATATCGACAGAGTGGAAAAATTCGGAGTAATTCCGAAAAAACGCTTTTTTCGGTTTTCTTTCGTCAACGATAACTCACGAACGAATCAACCGATTTTGACCGGACTAGCGGCGATCGACGTGGTTTTTTGATGTTAAGAGCTGATTAGTTTTTTTTTTCAAAATTTTTTTTTGGAAATTTTTTTTTTAATAGCCCCAAGTATTCCCTTTGAAGTTTACCATAAGCGATTTTTTTAATTGCAATAGTTTTCGAGATTTTTGAAACATAAATTTAAAAAATATGGAAAATAGTGAAATTTTGGATTTTGCATAACTTTTGAAAAAAATTTTTTTAATTTTTTTCCTTTGGCAGAACTTCGTTATAGGATAAAAGAAAACCTGACCAAAATTTATCCAAATCGAAAGGGGTCGAGTCCAACTATTGGTCGATTTGACGTGGAATGACCCAAATATTTACCTGTATTTTGTGTCGGAGTGCCGTCGAAATCACGGAAAATTTTAGAAAAGATCAATCCAACTGAAAAACAATTAAACTTAATACTACTTTTTTAATTTATATTATTTTAATAATTTTAAGTGTTTGAAACTGAATAATTCGGTACTTTAATATTTTATAATCCTCAAACAATTTTAAGTTAGATAAAAAATAAAAAAATCATTTTAACATTTATGTACGTTATAATTAAACATTTCAGTTAAAACAAGATTTCAAAAAATAAATCAATATTTATGTTTATTATTTTGATTAATAACTTTTATAATCTATTATAAATTTGTTTTTTTATTTTTAATAAATTTAAATGCATTACGTGTAAAGTTAATCGTTAGAAATTTTTAAAACAAGATTTAATAATTATGAAAAGGCTAGACAATTCTTTTTCAAACGATTAGTAATTAATGAGACTTTCAGAATATTCGATTATTTTTATACTAGAATTAGACTTAACGAAACGTGTGATAACTAAAAATATCTCTTTTCAATCAAATTAAAATTCCGAAAAATTACAATTTATTTATCAAATTCTTCACTTTTTGAAGTTTATTAATATACACAATATTGTATAACGGAATTTCATACATAATCTTTGAATATCATGAAAAATGAGTAATTAAAAATAATAAATTATTATGGCTGCGTCTATTCATTCGTCAACCATATGCATAAATTTAATTAATCATTCCAGTAACCGTATCAATTAAATATTTTAGATCGTTCGGAAATTAATAATAACAAATTAAAAATAATCATAAGATATTTTACTATCTTTATTCATATTTTCGCGATGATTATTTATATCGTAAATTTATATTTTCCTTTTATAAATGGACGAATTTCAAATTTTTATTCGTCCAGTAACCGGATGAATAACATATTTTTATTCGTCCGGAAATGAAAAATTATTACAAAAAAAATCGTTACCGAATTAAGTATCATAAATATTTGAGTATGATAAATATTTTGTGTAGGGTGAAAGATAGTTTATATACACCAGTTGATCCAACATGAGAATAAAATTGTAACTTTTTCTTACATGGGCCAATTTACATGAAAGGTTTTAGGATGGTTCTCCATTATTCTAGAATAGCAGCTGCTATAAAAAAACCAATTTAATATAATTTTTGATTTTTCATACTATGATTTTTGTTAAAACGGTCTGTTAATTTTAATTTTTTTTTAAACCAATCACCGTTTGTTTAAAGCCTTTCAGTCTCCCTCGATGTTTTATCGCCGATTGAATGATGATCTTTTCTAATATTTTTCTTTTTTTTTACTAACATTAGTCGTATTTGTTGAAGTATTGGCTAAAGTGGATATAGACGACATTGGGAGCGAGGGATTGTTCATTGGTATCTTTATTGGTTATGACTCATTCTACTTCGCTCCATTTCGGAAGAGCTTTTTCAAAAGAAGTTATCATCCAGTTGATTGATTCTCTATCCTCAGAAACTAGAATGCAAACTCCGACAACTTCGGAACATCCATTGGATTCTTCAACTATCATCAAATAAACTGGAGCACGGACATTTAATAATTTGAAGGTAGCATCAATTCCAAGGAATTCAGGATAAGAATCCATTGAAATTCTCATGAATCACGTTACGAAAAGCAACCCAGCAATTATGTCTTGTTTTTTGTAAAGGAACCATTGAGCTTTGAATTTTTCTTCTAGCTTTTCAAGAGTAGGAATTAATAAATTTTCTGTTCGTTTTTTCACTTTACAGTTGTCCAAATCATTTAACAGTATCACTATACTCGTTTGGTAGCCATTTGTGTCGTGGATATGCTTGTACTTTATATCATCAATGATAAGACAATTTCCATTGTCGATTATTCCGACTTCGAAATATGCGGGGCACTTTTTTTGAAATTTAAATGCTTTTCTTATTCTTTTTGACTTTGATTTAAAATTTTTCTCACCATGGACACGAATATATTTAATACTGTAGTATTTTGAACATTCGTTAATATTTTTTTTTATTCCTTTTTTGTGAGCTTGAGAAATCGTCACAGAATCACAATGAAAGTAAACCACGTTTGGCTTTTTTTTTAATTTTCCTACACTTTCTTCTAATTTTTCACATGACTCAAATTTATCGGCAATTTTTAATGTATTATCATTATTTCCAGCTTCTCCATCCCGGTCACCATCATCCGCGTCATCTTCAGCAACGTTATTTTCTTTGACTTCATCTCCCTTTCCTTCGCTTGCAATTTCTTCGTCATAAGAATTTTTATCTGCCCTGTCATAATCTATTAGAAATTATTTATTAATATGAAAAATTAATTTTTTAAACAATAAATAATTGTTTATTTTTCATTAATTATTTTACTAATTACCCATTATTAATTGATCTTCGTTGTAACGATGATTATTTTAATTTAATGAATATTTTAATCAAAAAAATTTTGATGACAGGTTGACAGGAAAAAATTTTTTTTTAATTACATTTGAAAAAGTATTCAATTAAACTAGTTTAAATTTTAATTAAAAATAACCAGTTTATTAGCGTTAAATTATAATTGAACGACTATGAAAATTATATAAATAAACGTAAAAGTAAAATATTAAAGAAATTGAATGAAAATTTTTATTGTATAGATTAATAAATGTATTCATATTTTTGAATAATTTTTATAGATGTATGTTACAAAAATTTCTTGTTATTGGTTTTTCATTTCTAGAATATCACGCTTTGTTTTTTTTCTTTTTTTTTCAAAAATTATTTAAAAAGTTGACTTAGAAGTTAGAAGTGATAAATTTAATTGAAACAAAAGTTGATTTTCAAAGCTCTTGCTAATGTTTGAAAAATCACGATTCAATCATTAGTCAACTTGAATCCTCAGATTCTTTTATGGCACTCTGTGGACTGGCTTTTCATAAGTTTTTTAATTATATATTTCGCTGAGAATTTTCTTCCAATATACTAGTACAAAAAATAAAGTAGCATAATATTGTTAATGATTGTTGATACTATTTATATTATTATTGAAATTTTGTAAGTAAATTAGACAGCTATGTACAGTGACATTTCACACAATCTTTAATATTTAATACTTTTTTAAAAAACCACTTATTATTGAGTTACAAAACATTCTCACGAGAGAGCAGCACTTTCCAGTCCTAATCTATCAATTCTATTAATAAGTTTCAAATCTGTATTTTATACTTATCTTACAAAATCTACCTTATCATAGAAAAACTGTAATTTTCTCGGTCAATATCATTTCTGTAATTTAGTACAAAGTAAGCTTGAGCTATACTCGTGGTGCAGTGAACTCGTGACGGAAAGAAATATGTGAGGACTAAAAATGCACTGTAATGAAAGATGCAGGCAACATTTTATAGTTGGCTTAAAATTGTTGTGCATTGAATTATTGCTGGATAAATTTTGTTTAGATATTAAATCTGAGTCGTTTATAAAGAGAGTAACTAAAAATAAATGCGTTCTAATTAGAACAAGCATTAAAGTATTTCTGAAATAATAACTGGCTGGTAATTTATATGACAAATCTAAAGGGATAGAGTAACGTATAATGTAGGGCGTAATTATTATATGGCAGAATTATATGTTGATTCAAAAAGTTAATGGTATTAAGTTAGTAGAGCATAAATGTTGCTGGTGATATTGTTGTTGTAATTCAACAGTTGTTTGGATTAAAATTGAACTGTATCAAAATGTTGCCAACTGAAAACCTGCCTACCTGAAATTAACGTTCGAACTAAGTGCGACTGTATTTAATACTATTTGCTATAAAATACTAGGGGGAACAATATGTACCAGATATATTTTCAGACTGAAAGAAACTATCTTTTATGATAAATCGATGCTACCCAACAGTTTGCCTCCTGAGTTATTCTCCGTCTATTTTAATTTTCGATGAACCTGCTCTGACCTTGTATGGCCTTGAAAAATTAATGAAAGTTGGTCAAACCCAAGTATAATCGATTGAGGCCTTAAAAATAAGGTTTCTTTCGGCCTCAAAAATTTTTTATCGTCCTTATAAATTACGAGGTTCCACCTAAGTCATCCACTCTACCTCTTAATTTTTATTGAACCTATTTTGACGTTGTATAACCTTGAAAAATTAATAAAATTATGTGAAAACTAAGTACAATTGATTTAGGGCCAAAAAATCCAGTCTCTTTCTGCACTAAAATTTTTTAATGGGCCCGAAAAATCAAACCGTACGTTTTAAGTCATTTGCTGTCCCCCTTATTTTTTATTGAGCCTATTTTTACCTTGTATGGCCTTAAAAAATATAAAAAGGTAGGTCAAACTCAAGTCAAATTGATTCAGGCCCAAAAAATCAGGTTTGTTTATGCCATCATATTTTTTTATGGTCCTTAAAAATCAAAGGGTACCACCTTAGTCATCCACTGTCCCACTTAAATTTTATTGAACCTATTTTGACGTTATATGACGTTAGAAAATCAATGAAAGTAGGCCATACCCAAGTATTGCCGAGTAAGGCCCAGAAAATCAGGATTCTTAATCGCTTAAAATATTTTTATAGCCCTTCGAAAATTACAGGGCACCTCATGTGTCATTTTTCTTCCCTTGCTATATTCATTGAACGTATTTTGACCTTGTGTGACCTTGAAAAACATAAAAAAAGGTCAAACTCAAGTAAAATTGATTTAGGCCCAAAGAATCAGGTTTCTTTATGCCCTGAAATTCTTTTATGGTCCTTAAAAATCAAAGCGTACCTCCTTAGTCATCGACTGTCCCTCTCAATTTTTATTGAACCTATTCTGACCTTGTGTGACCATGAATAATTATTGAACGTAGGTCAAACAGAAGTATCATCGATTGAGGTCCAAAAAATCAGGTTTCTTTATGCCCTAAAATTTTTTTATGGATTTTAAAAATTACAGGTTTTCTCCTAAGTCATCCAATGTCCCTCTCAATTTCTATTGAACCTATTTTGACGTTTTATGACCTTACAAAATTAATAAGAGTAGATCAAACCTAAGTTTTATGGGATAACGCCAAGATAATATGGTTTATTGATGACCTTCATTTTTTCATAGTCTTTAAAAATCACAGAGTCCCTCCTTAGTCATACACTGACCCTCAAATTTTTTATTGAACCTATTTCGACCTTGTATAACCTTAAAAAATTAATTAAATTAGGTCAAAAACAAGTAAAATTTATTGAGGCCAAAAAAATCTTGATGCCTTAAAATTATTTTATGGCCCCTTAGAAGTTCTAGGGCACCTCTGTCATTTTCGTCCCTCTTAATGATTACTAAACGTAGTTTTGACCTAAGTGACCTGTAAAAATATAAGTAAGTAAGTCAAACTCAAGTAAAATTGATTTAGGCCTAAGAAATCAGGTTATCTCATGCCCATTAATGTTTTTATGGTCTAATAAAATTACAGGGTACCTCTTAAGACATCTTTCGTCCCTCTAAATTCTTGATGAACCTATTCTGAATTTGTATGACCTTGCAAAATTGATTAAAGTAGGTTAAACCCAAGTGTTATCGATTGAGGTCCAAAAAATCACGTTTCATTAAGCCCTTAAATTTATTTATAGTCCTTGACAGTTACTGGGTACCTCCTACGACATCCTACGTCCCTTTCAATATTAATTAAACCTATTTTGACTTTGCATGACCTTAGAATATCAAGAAAAGTATGTCAAACCGAAGGATAATAGATTTAGGCCCAAAAAATCAAGTTTCTTTATGCCCTCAAATTTTTTTATGGTCTTATAAATTCACATAGTACCTCCTGAGTTATCGTCTGTCCCTCTCAATGTTTGATTAACCTATTCTGACCCTGTATGACCTTGAAAAATAAATGAAAGTAGGTCAAACCCAAGTATTATCGATTGAGGCCCAAAAAATCAGGTTTCTTTATTCATTTAAATTTTTTTATAGTCTTTAAAAATCACGGGGTACCTTCTAAGACATTTTTCGTCCATCTTAATATTCAATAAACTTATTTTGACCTTGCGTGACCTTAAAAAATAAAGAAAAGTATGTCAAACCGAAGGATAATGAACTTAGGCACAAAAAATTAGGTTTATTTAAGACCTCAATTTTTTATCGTCTTACGAATTACAGGGTACTTTCTGAGTTATCCTCCGTCCATCTAAATTTTTTGATAAACCTATTTTGATCTTGTAAGACCTTGACAAATCGATAAAAGTACGTCAAACCCAAGTATTTTCGATTAAGGCCTTGAAAATCAGGTTTCTTGATGCTTTCAAATATTTTTATGGTCCTTAAAAATCAAAGGGTATCTTCTAAGTCATCTACTATCCCTTTCAGTTATAATGAACCTATTTTGGCGTTGTATCACCTTGGAAAATTAATAAAAGTAGGTCAAAACCAAGTACGATCGATTTAGGCCAAAAAAATCGAGTTTCTTTATGCCCTAAAATTTTTTGATGGTATTTAAAAATCAAATGGTAACTTCTAAGTCATCCGCTGTCCCTCTTAAATCTTATTGAACCTATGTTGGGTTGTACCACAAAATTTACCTGGACAAAATCTCCCCGACAAAATACCCTTCAAAATCTCGTAGTGCCCTTTTATCATGATTTTTTGGGTATATTTACTCGAAAAATACCATCACAACTGTCAGAAATAAAAAAATTATTATTTAAAATTATCAAAAATGAGATTTTGTCGGGGAGATTTTGTCAGGGGAGATTGTGTCATGTCACCATTTTGACGATGTATGACCTTGAAAAATTAATAAAAGTAGGTCAAAACCAAGAACAATTAATTTAGGCCCAATAAATCCAGTTTCTTTATGCTCTAGAATTTTTTGATGGGCCTTTAAAATCAAAGTTTAAATTCTAAGTCATCCGCTGTCCCTCCAAATGTTTATTGAACATATTTTGACCTTGTATGACCTTGAAAAATTAATGAAAGTAGGTCGAACCCAAATACAATTGATTGAGGCCCGCTAAATCAGGTTTTTTTATGCCCTCAAATTTTTTTATCGTCTTTGAAACAACGGGTACCCCCTAAGTCATTCACTGTCCCTTTTAATTTTCATAAGACCTATTCTGACGTTGTATGATCTTGAAAAATTAATGAAAGTACTTCATTAAGTACGTCAAATCCAAGTATTATTGATTGAGGCCAAAAAAATCCCGTTTCTTTATGCCCTAAAATTTTTTAATGGGCCTCTAAAATCCTAAAAGGGTACCTCTTTAGTCATACACTGTCACTCTCAATTATTATTGAACTTATTTTGACTTTTGTAACAGGCCGCTTTTAGCGCCACCTGTTAAGACGTTTTTTTTTATTGTTGATAATTTTAATTTTTTTTGAATTTAAAAATTTTTAAAAGAAAATTTAAATTGAGCGCTAGAGATAATTGTTGTCCATTGGTTGGATTCGCCGCGACCGAGTCGCCCTAGCGCGAGAAAATGCGACCGAAGCTCGATTGCGCGCGAAACAAAAATTTATTGGGATTACGAATTTAATTTAGCAAATAAGTTAGTTTTAAGTAATTGTAATTGTAAGAATGGTACTTATAACCGGTCACGAACCCGCGAAGAGAGACCAACGAGGATTACCGACGTGGATTCTCTACAAGATCATCGACGACGGGCGGATGGCTGTCTCGAGAACGAGCTGGAACGACGGACCTATAGAAACTCGAAGTGAGCAATCGACGCATGCGTGAAGGCGGAAAACTGGCTGTCGAGCGCGCCAATGCTCCAGCCAATGCATCACTCAAAACGTCGATATTGAGAAATTGGACTTGCGGCGCCATCTCTGGAGTTCAAAGCTAACGACGGACCCAGGAAAGAGGGGAGAGACGAGGAATGCGACATGTGCTTAATTTTTCTTCTTCCACGTTTTCGATTTGCCGCGTGCGGACACGTTTTTATATTCTGAAGAATTTGTTGGTTATTTTTTTTTTATTACTGCCTGATTTTGAGATTTATCACAAAGAATACTTTTGTAATTTCTTGCGTCTGAAATTTGAGTATTTCGTTTAATTAGCCACGACGTAGTGTGCTATATGTTGATTATTGTGTTTAATTGCGATTGTGTTTGCCAAAAATTTATTACGGCATTACGACGATAATTGGCTGTCGCCAATTATTTATTTAATAGAAGCGTGATCTATTACGACGTTTTACTGGATGATCGCTAGTTGACGTGTGCAAGTGACGAAAAATCAACACGTATCCTCGCCGAGGAAGGTCATTGTCCGAGATCGTTCGACGTGGAAGCCGAGTACGACCTGGTGCGGCCAATCGACAGACAACGTAGATTTACGTCTTCGACCAGGGTGAGTGCCACGGTTTTTCTTAGGTAAATAGCTCGTGGGATTTATTTGAATAAAGAATTTTTTTTGTTTATGATTAATTATTCGTAATTAATATTCTTGTTGCTTGATGTGACACATCACCAAGGAATGTCAAGGTTGCATTAAGTCAGCCGGTAAAATAATAATCCCACGAGGTATTTCGGTACCGCCATTGTTGTTATTTATTTTTGTGTACTAATGTATGAAATTTAAGATTAAAATTGTCACTATCATTTTTTTTGTAATTTCGACGTTTACTCCCGGGGTAATCGAGCTTCGGATTCGTGCGGATCAATTACCTATTTGTTATTTAAATCTGGCGAATAAACAGAAGTTAATTTAATTAGATTAATTATTAATTAATTTTATAATGTATTAAAGCCGGCGAGTGTAATAACTTATTATATAATTTAATTATTACTTAACTGCGGCGAACGAATTTTTTTTTTTATATTATTATTAAATTAAATTCGGCGAAATTTTACAAAGTTAAATTAAAAATTAACTATGATTGATTAGTTGTTTGACTGCTATCAATTTCAGTCGAGCGAAAATTTATAAATTTTTTTTGTTTTTTTTTTTTTTGGTTAATTAACAACAACTGACTTTAATTGTTATTAATTAAATTTTCGAGGACGTTATGTTATGGTTAATATTGGTATTATTTAATCAATGAATTTCAATTAAATTAAGCGAAGATTTAATTTTTTTTTGTTATTTAGTTAATTAATTGCTATTGAGTGAATTGCTGGGAGATTTATTTTGTTGCTGTCGTTAACTGATTCCAGTAACTGAGTGAGCGACGTTTTGAGAGTGTTGATTGGAATTAACCGAAGTATTGTTATTTGGAGAAAGTTTGACGTTGTTTTCTTGCGAAACTGCGTATCGACGGCGTATCGACAGATTATAATTTTTGCGTTTAATTATTTTATTTTGTTAATCTTGACAATTATTTAAATTTATTATTAATAAATTAATAACTTAATTTTTTTTAATTGCGAGTTAATGCGAATAGCCCGAATACTTTCCTCGTTCCTCTATAATTAAGTCGTACCCGTAAGGCCCGCCACCCGACAAAAGGAGTCCCGAACCGGAGTAGCCGGACATCGACGTGATTGGAGCAAAGCTCCTGGCGCCCAACAACAGGTAAAGCAGGTAGGCCAGATTATTTATTTCGGGCTTCGTCCTCGCATAACGCACGAGTACGAAAATACCCGTTACACCTTGTATGACCTTAATAAATTAAAAAAAGTAGATCAAACCTAAGTTTTATGGAATAAGTCCAAGAAAATATGGTTTTTTTGTGCCCTTCAATTTTTTCATAGTCCTTGACAATCACGGGGTACCTCCTTAGACATCCTCTGTCCCTTTCGATATTTATTAAACCTATTTTGACCTTGCATGACTCTGAAATATCAAGAAAAGTATGTCAATCTGGAGGAGAATAGATTTAGGCCCAAAAAATCAGGTTTCTTAATGCCCTCCAAATTTTTTTAAGGTCTTATATAAAATGACAGGGTAACTTTTAAGTTATCCTTCGTCCATCTTAATTTTTGATAAACCTATTCTGAACTTGTAATACCTTGAATAATCGATAAAATTAGGTCAAAACCAAGTATTATCGATGGAGGCCGTAAAACTCAGGTTACTTATGCCCTCAAATTTTTTTAAGTTCTTGTAAAATGAATAGATACCTCCTGAGGCATCCTTTCTCTCTCTCAATTTTTAATAAGCCAATTTTTTCCTTGTATGGCCTGGAAATATTAATGAAAGTAGGTCAAACCCAAGTCTTATCGATTGAGGCCTTAAAAATCAGGTTTCTTTTTGCCTAAGAATTTTTTTATGGTCTTTTAAAATTACAGGGTACCTCCTAAGTTAGTTTCCGTCCCTCTTATTTATTTATTTATTAAACCTATTGTGATCTTGCATGACCATGAAATATCAAGAAATGTATGTCAAACCGATGGATAATAGACTTAGGACCAAACAATCAGGTTTCTCGATGCCCTCAAATTTTTTTATGGTCTTTAAAAATTACAAGGTAACTTCTGAGTTATCCTCCGTCCATCTCAATTTTTGATAAACCTTTTCTGACCTTGTAAGACCTTGACGAATCGATAAAAGTATGACAAACCCAAGTATTATCGATTGAGGCCTTGAAAATAAGGTTTTCACATGCCCTACAATTTTTTTATAGTCCTTATAAATTACAGGGGTCCTTATCATTCATCCACTGTCTCTCTCAATTTTTATTGAACCTATTTTGACGTTGTATGACGTTGAAAAATTCATAAAAGTAGGTCAAAACCTAGTACAATTGATTGATGCCCAAAAAATAAAGTTTCTTGATGCTTTAAAATCTGGTAATGGCCCTCAATAATTACAATAAACCTTCTGTGTCATCCTCTGTCCCTTTCGATAATTATTGAACCTATTCTGACCTTGTATGACCCTAAAAAATATAAAAAAGTAGGTCAAACTTAAGTAAAATAGATTTCAGCCCAAAAAATCAGGTTTCTTTATGACCTCAAATTTTTTTATGGTTTTTAAAAATCACAAAGTACCTCCTGAGATATTCTCCGTCCATTTTAATTTTTGATGAACCTATTCTGACTTTAAATAGACTTGAAAAATTAATGAAAGTTGGTCAAACCCAAGTATTATCTATTGAGGCCTTAAAAATCAGGTTTCTTTGGGCCTTAAAATTTTTTTATGGTCTTAAAAAATTACAAGGTTCCTCCTAAGTCATCCGCTGTACCTCTTAATTTTCATTGAACCTATTTTGAAGTTGTATGAACTTGAAAAATTGATAAAAGTAGGTGAAAACCAATACAATTGATTGACGGGCAAAAAATCCAGTTTCTTTATGCACTTTAATTTTTTAATGGGCCTCTTAAATAAACGGTATGTTTTAGGTGATTTGCTGTCCTTCTTAATTTTTATTGAGCCTATTTTTACCTTGTACGGCCTTGAAAAATTTCAAAGAGTAGGTCAAACTCAAGTAAAATTGATTTAGGCCCAAAAAATCAGGTTTCTTCATGCTCTCGAATTTTTTTATGATCCTTAAAAATCAAAGGGAACCAGCTAAGTCATCCACTGTCCCTCTTAATTTTCATCGAACCTATTTTGACGTTACATAACGTTGCAAAATTGAAGAGAGTAGGCTAAACCCAAGTATTACCGATTGAGGCCCAAAAAATCAGGTTTCTTTATTCCCTTAAATTTTTTTATAGTCCTTGACAAAAACAGGGTATCTCCGAAGACATCCTACGTCCCTCTCGTTATTCATTAAACTTATTTTGACTTTGCATAAAATCTACTTTCAATAACATTTCAAGGCCATACATAGAAAAAGTAGATTCAATAAAAATTAAGAGGGAAAAAGGATGCCTCAGGAGGTACCCTGTAATTTTATATGACCATAAAAAAATTTTAGGGCATGAAGAAACCTGATTTTAAAGGCCTCCATCGATAATACTTGGGTTGGACCTAATTTTATCGATTTGTCAAGGTCGTACAAGGTCAAAATAGGTTTATCAAAAATTTAGATAGACGGAAGATAACTCAGGAGGTACTCTGTAATTTTATAAGACTATAAAAAAATTTGAGGCCATACAGAAAGCTGATTTCTTGGGCCTAAATTTATTATCGTCCGGTTTTACATACTTTTCTTGATATTTCAAGGTCATGCAAGGTCAAAATAAGTTTAATAAATAACGAGAGGGACATAAGATGTCTAAGGAAGTACCCCGTGATTGTCAAGGACTATTAAAAAATTTAAGGGCATGATGAAACCTGATTTTTTGGGCCTAAATCGATTTTACTTGAGTTTTTCCTCAAGTTCGACGTATTTTTTTATATTTTTTAAGGTCATACAAGGTCAGAATAGGTTCAATAAGTATCAAAACGGATAGAGGATAACACAGAAGGTTTACTGTAATTATTGAAGGCCATTAACAAATTTTAAGGCATCAAGAAACCTGATTTTTTGGGCATCAATCAATTCTACTGTCCGAAATCTATTATCCTTCGGTTTGACATACTTTTCTTGATATTTCAAGGTCATGCAAGATCAAAATAGGTTTGATAAATATCCAGAGGGACGTCAAATGACTCAGAAGGTACCCTGTAATTTTATAAGACCATAAAAAAATTTGAGGGCTTAAAGAAACCTGATTTTTCGGGCCTAAATTAATTGTAATTCGGTTTGACCATGTTTCATTAATTTATCAAGGCCATACAAGGGGAAAATAGGTTCTATGAAAATTAAGAGAGAGAAAGGATGACTCAGGAGGTACTCTGTAATTTAATATGACCAAAAAAAAATTTAAGGGTATGAAAAAACCTGATTTTTTGGGTCTAAATCTATTATACTTGAGTTTTAACTACTTTTTTGTATTTTTCAAGGGGGACGGAGGATGACACAGGAAATGTACTGTAATTATAAAGGGTCGTCGATAAATTTTTAGGCATAAAGAAACCTGATTTTTAAGGCCTCAATCGATAATACTTGGGTTTGACATACTCTTATCGATTTGTCAATTTCGTACAAGGTCAAAATAGGTCCATCAAAAATTTAAATGGACGGAAGATAACTCTCAGGAGGTACCCTGTAATTTTTTAAGACCATAAGAGAATTTAAGGGCATAAAGAAACCTGACATTTCCGGCGGACGAAAGATAACTCAGGAGGTACTCTGTAATTTTATAAGACCATAAAAAAATTTGAGGCCATTAAGAAAGCTGATTTCTTCGGCCGAAATTTATTATCCTTCG